CTAGGCACAGCTTGATATTACATTCTTCAAATATTGTATTGCCTATCTATTTATATGATAGCTCTTTGAGACTGTATTTATTATGTGAGATAACCGCTCAGGAGATGTAGGTAGCTTCAGGGTTGTGCTGGGTACGGAGTGACCTAGTTTGGGATATTATCCCATCTGAAAACAAACATGTCTCGACAAAAAAACATGTTGTTAACCTCTTGTTTCCTCTTCAAAGCCAAAGCCTAGGGATTTTGTTAACCTCTTGTTTCCTCCTGCCGCACCATTGAATTCGTACTATTCCCACTGTTATATGATAAGACACATTTAATATCGTTATGTAAATGAATATAGTATAGTATATGCTATATGTCGTGTCACTATGTACAAACAATAGAACACACTCACATGCCACATTCCTTGTAGCAAAGTATATATACATCATACATTTCATAGGAATGCTAACATAGGTGATCAAAGTTTGTGTCGTGGGGCAATATAGTGCTGTCATGAATTTTGCGAGGCTATCCAGCAGTTGGCTCTGGATCGCACGAAGCAACTCCTGGATTTCATCTCCGGGTTCCGGCAAAGCAAGACCTTTGACGACTGGGTCGAGAATCACAAGGATAATGTGCAGCTGATGCAGTGGCTGGACGACGTGAACAAGCTGCATATTTTGACTGTGAGTGTACTTCAGCAGGAGGAAGAGGCACTTACCGGGGAGAAGTTGGAAGAATTGAAGAATGCCCGGAATCATCTCCTGAGCAAGAAGAGTAGCCTTGTCGAGTCGATGACATTGTGGCCACTGGGCCAATTCATCCAACAGGCGGCGAACTCTCGGATGGAAAGCTTCCTACGTGACCAGAGTTTGAAGGCGGAGGTGCAGCAGTGCATTCAGCTCAGCAGTCAGTTGAAGACATTCACTTGCGACACCATGTTCAAGCCAGATTCCCTCGAGATTGCCGTTCCCGGGTTGAACAAAGTCGTGGAGATGGTCTCCAAGTTCAACATGGCCGAGCAGCTCGGTTCTAAGAGGTTCTTGCAAGAGCACCAGGACCAGCTCAAGATCATCGGTGTCAAGATCACTGAGCTGCAGAATGCGATGCTCAGTGCTTGTGTGCACAAGTTTCGCAGGAGTGTTGGCGAAGGACTCCGTCCCTTGTTAGAGACCCTCTTGGGAGGTCAGATCGATGCCGACTCCACTGCTCGTTTGGTGGAGTTTGTGAACGAGGCAAAGAATTTCAACCCCGTGCAGACCAGTATGCTCAACAAGTGTTTGGGAGCTTCGGCATCCCCCATCCAGGATGCAGTGCAGGAGACACGGACATTTTGGACCCGTTTCTCGTCGGTGACCTCGGCTGTTGTGGGCCTGATGAATGCAGAGACGGTTAATTGTGTCGTGCAAAGGTTGCTTTCGTCAGATCTGCTTGCACTCATGGAGGTTTACAACGATCCCTCCAAGATTGAACTCCTGCAAAAGCTCTGTGTGGATTTGTGGCCTCAGATGTCGCAGATCGGCGACACTATCCGACGTAGTGCAATGCATCTGAGAAGCAGTTGGGATGGCGGTTTCAGAAGTTCAGAATTCCATACTGTTGCTTAGGAGTT